ATAGACCTGGCCTCCGTCTCCCCCTCAGTCTGGAACAGGAGCAAGATGGGAAGGGAGAACAAAGGCAGAAGAACAAGTCACGGGGTGAGTGGGAGCACCCTGCTTTGGGTTCACCATCACCAGTCCTGGGAGGGTCCATCTTGTAAAATGGCTTTGTCTGCACCTGCGTGCAAGAGGCAACTCACCCCAAGGCATGGGAGAGCAGCTTTCGAGCAGTCCCCCTCCCCCGGTCCACCTCTCCTGACTCAGCATTACAGCCTGCTCACATTGAGTCTCCCCTCTTCTAGGATCAAAGTCTATGTCCACACTGGCGGGTTCTTGCACAAAAACTTGCAGTGTCCACACTGCCAGCCCACTCTTGCACAAGAAGATTTACAGCCAAGTGTGGGAAGAGAGGGCTTCTTGCGCAAGAGCTACACTCTTTTCTAAGAAGTGTAAGCCCTCTTGTGCAAGAGGGCAGTGTGGACGCACGGCAGGGGTTTCTTGTGCAAGAAACCCCTATGGCTAAAAAGGCCATCAGAGAGCTTTCTTGCACAAGAGAGTGTCCACACGGCCATGGATGCTCTTGTGCAAAAGCACATGGCAGTGTGGACGTGTTCTTGTGCAAAAGTTCTTGCACAAGAACTCCTGTGCAAGGTGTTTTTGTGCAAGAATCAGCCAATAACTCCTTGTGCAGGCTCCAGCTACAATGCTGGGCCCAGTATTTTGGAGACTCTCCTCTCCGGGCCCTTGCAGTAGCTGGTAGGGGAATCCAGCCTCATCCTCCTACTACAGTAGGTTCCAGCCCAGTGACCCTAGGACGAGCAGCCCAGCTCTGCTCCATCAGACATTTGTTGCTCTCTCAGGACTCCTTCCTACCATTAGCTTTTCTTCAGGCCTTTTTGCCAGTACAAAAAAAAAGCACTAGCCAGAGCTGCTGCCCACAAGCCTGATTCTTGCCCCCAACTTAAGCTTCCTGCCGGCCCCACAGACCTCCCTGTTCCCCACAGCACCCTCCCCTCTCTAGGGACAGGAGAGCTCTTCCCTCATACTCTGCAGTCCTTTGCACTCCAGATCCCTTAGGCTTCTTTGCCTTCAGCTTCCATCTGGCTCATAACACCTGTCTCCTAACTCTAACCCCAGGCCTCTTTCTACCGTCAGCCCAAGAGAGACAACACCCAGCAACAACCCTGCTGCTGCGTTTCTTTCCCTGCCTCTTTCCCCCTCCTGAAGGCCCAGCTCCTCCTCACCTGGGCTTGATCACCACCCGTCTTCCCTAAACCATGTGTAACCCATCTACCTAACAGGGAGTGATCTAGTTAAGAAACCCTCGGGGTCGCTGTTGCTTTGTAGATTTCACAGGCAGGCTATGCACATAAGCTTCTGGAATTGGGTGTGGTAGGGGGGTTTTTTGGGGGAGGGGGGTGTCCCTCTGTTGCTGGGGTCAGACTCCAGGATCCAGCAGGCAGGGCAGTTGCTTTGCTAAGGGCCTTGTGTCCTGGGAGAGGTTGAGCTAGGAGCAGAGAGCAGGCTGCTGTCCCTCACTCTACAGCAGCTAGGGATGATGTTGATCCTCTACCAGGGCACATGGACAATGCTAATTATAGCAAGGGGGACCTGGGAGGGGACAATAACTTCAGTGCTTGGAACGTGGTTTGATTTTAGCCAAACTGCTTGGCTGTGTCTAGATTGGCCAGTTTTTCTGGGAAATGAGCTGCTTTTCTGGGAAAACTTGCCAGCTGTGTACACTGGCCACTTGAATTTCCACAAAAGCACTGACTTCCTACTGAAAGAAATCAGTGCTTCCTGTGGAAATACTATGCTGCTCCCGTTCAGGCAAAAATCCTTTTGTGCAAAAGGGCCAGTGTAGACAGCTCAGATTTTCAGATTTGAAAATGGCGATCGGGGCTTTTTTGCGCAAAAGTCCGTCTAGACTGGCACGGACGCTTTTCCTCAAAAAGTGCTTTTGCGGAAAAGCGTCCGTGCCAATCTAGATGCAACGGAAAACTTTTCTGTTAAAAGTATTTCTGGAAAATCAAGCCAGTGTAGACACAGCCCTCTAGTTTATTTTGCAGTCTGTGGAATTCTTCAACTCCTCTTTAAATGTAGTAATGGGGAAATTTCTATTTTGTTAGTCTCCGTTTTTGTATTTTCTTGTAACAGAGTTTTTCTTTAAATCTGTTCAGATCTGTGATTTACTGAGTGGTTAATCAGTGAGCGGGCTGCCTAGTGGTGATCCACAGCAGGGGAAGAGGCTGCCTGGACTCCAACTGAGAAGCCCTACATGTAAGTGGAGAGCGAGTTCAGACTCTGCATGTGGTGCAGACTTGATGATCAGAGACACAATCTGAGGCTTTGATTAACTAAATCTGAGCTTTTGGGAGTCTCTCAGTTTCTTCTTCTTGTGTTTACATGTGGATTGAACTGTTCAGGTCTTATTTTTGGCTTTCTCTGTTTGTTTTTGTTGTAACTCTAAAGACCATGTCTGTAGGTTGTAAAATTAGATTTTATAAAATCTTACAATGAACAGTTAATTCAATAAATTCATTTCTTTAGTTTCTTTTGGCACTTCTACACATGGATAGAAAAAAATCCGCATATAAATGGAAAAGTTTCAAAGGAATGTTGTTTACCCCCCATTCAGGTGCAACCAAGAGGCTTAACTGGTTCCTGTTAACCCTTTCCTTACCTGTGGGGGTTCACATCCCGTTACTCAGTGCTTTGCCCAGTACCAACTGTGTGAAGCAAAACAGTGTTCATGGGCTGGCCCGTGTAGCTGTACAGCCTTATTGTAGTGGCGTTCTAAGGCTATGTCTAGACTACATTCTTTTTTCGTGAAAGGGATGTAAATTAGATGTATCGCAATTGCTAATGAAGCGGGGATTTAAATCTCCCCCGCTTCATTAGCATAAAAATGGCTGGCGCTATTTTGGAAAAAAGCACCAGTCTAGACGGTGATCATGCGAAAAATAAAGGCTTTTCCGAAAGATCCCTTATCCCTAGACTACAAAAAAGGGATGTAGTCTAGACGTAGCCTAAGGGAGTTGTGGAATTGTGTATAAAGGACTCTGAAAACACAGGGGCTGTGTCTAGACTGGCCAGTTTTTCCGGAAAAGTGGCTGATTTTCCGGAAAAACTGGCCAGTCTAGACACAGCCCCCTGTGTTTTCAGAGTCCTTTATACACAATTCCACAACTCCCTTAGGCTACGTCTAGACTGGCATGATTTTCCAGAAATGCTTTTAACAGAAAAGTTTTCCGTTAAAAGCATTTTCGGAACAGAGCATCTAGATTGGCACGGCTTTTCCGCAAAAGCATCTGTGCCAATCTAGATGCTCTGTTCCGAAAATGCTTTTAACGGAAAACTTTTCTGTTAAAAGCATTTCTGGAAAATCATGCCAGTCTAGACGTAGCCAGGGTAAAACACACTGCCTTCCCTGAGGGGGCTTACGCCCACCAACAGAACAAAGCAAGGAAAACAGCTCTGGTGGAGATATCTATATTTAATGAGGACAACAAGGTAGGCAGGCTTGAGGAAGAAGAGGGTTTAAGGAGGGCTTTAAATAGTATTGGGAGGCGGAGGTAGGAAGTTGAGATTTGTTCCAAATTAATGATGGTACAAACCTAGGAGTGAGGCAGAGAAAAGGAGCAACAAGAAGAGAGGATAGGGAGCAGAGCTAGGAGCTGCAGGTGTAGCAAAAATTCAGCAATTTAGATAGGGCTGAAGGCAAAGACTGAACTTGGATTAGAGACAGTATAAAACAGGACGGTAGCACAGGTGGAATCTGGCGGGGCCTAGGGTGATGGGATGAACCATAAAGAGAGGAAAGCAGTTTCAGTAGAAGGCTAGATGAGCTGGAGAAGATGAGAGGGACAGAGAGGAAAAGAATATTATTAATTATACAGAACAATGCACCACAGTACTGCCTCCTTCCGCCTTTCTGCCGTTTTACAATGCTGGATCAGCAGCTTTATCCCCATTTTACAGATCAATTAACTGAGGCATAAAGATGAAGGTGCCCAGGGTCACTCATTAACAGAACCCTCCCTGCCAGTCCAGTGTTCTACTAAGGTGCTTACTTACGCACTCATTGTTTTAGTCTCTGAACATCTCACCCACTTTGGGTTGTTTATCCTCACAATGCCCCTGCCAGCTTGGGCTCAGAGACACAGAGCAACTTGCCCAACATCACTCAAGGAGAGGATGGTGGTATAAGGAAGAGAGCACTGGTCCCCCCCCCCACTACCCATCTGTGGTAGTGCTCTAGTTGCTGGAACAGCCTGCCTATCTGTTAACTTATTCTGTGTCCAATGAGAGCAGGTGTAACAACCAAACTAAGCAAAAGAAATGTAGGTTGAACATTAGGAATATTCTGTTAGTGCCTGATCCTCCTCTCGCACTGGTTGTACACCAGTGGAGCCCCACTCCAGCTCTCTAGCTGGTATAAACTGCCACAGCTCAGCAGAGCTACACAGATCAACGCTACCTGTGGATTTAGCCCAAGGCTAACTTCCATAGGGTTGCCTCTGGCTTATTCCATTGTAAGTATTAAGTGACTGCAGAATTGGGCCCATAGAAGCTGGAATAGTTTCTCAAGGGAACTGGTGGAATACCCATCGGCTGTGTCTAGACTGGCAAGTTAAAAGCATTTCCGGAAAATCATGCCAGTGTAGACATAGCCACCATGTTGTAATAAGGCAAAACCCTAGGCTACGTCTACACAAGAACTCTTGTTCTTGCACAAGAACTCTTTTGCGGAAGGGTTCTTATGCAAAAAAATCTTGCACAAGAGCACGTCCACACTGCCATGTGCTTTTGCGCAAGAGCATCCATGGCAGTGTGGATGCTTTCTTGTGCAAGAAAGCTCTGATGGCCATTTTAACCATAGAGGCTTCTTGTGCAAGAAATTCATGTTGCCTGTCTACACTGGCCTCTTGTGGAAGAGCTCTTGTGCAAGAGGGCTTATTCCTCATGGGGAGAGGAATAACTCTTCCGGAAGAAGCCCTGTTTTACAACGCTAAACTGTAAATTTACTTGCGCAAAAACGCGCGTGCAGTGTAGTCAGCAGGCAAGTTTTTGCACAAGAATGATTGTTCTAGCGCAAGAAGCTGCCAGTGTAGACACAGCCCTACAGAATAAAGCATTTGAGAACATATAGCAGGAAGCAATCTGCACTGGGAGCTGGCCACATGACCTACAAAGACTTGTCCAGGCATAGGAAGGTGAGAACCAGCTTTCTTTATGGACTCTCTCACTGGAACTCCCATAGCATGTATCCCCTGGCTGCCCCAGTATTAATATTGATCCACCCCCTTAAGTACTGGCCAGTCCTTCCGCCTCAGCCACTGCACTTGGGCTGGAAAGAGCAGCTTCCTCTGGAGAAGCAGAAGAGGCTGGACTCTTCTCCTCAGCATCCCCTGCTTTGATGATCCTGACAGAGTTTTCTTTCTTCGAAAGCCAGAAAGCGGGGTAGAGCGGCTGAGCAAATTCACACTCAAACTTGTGTATCAGAGTCATGGTGTCCGAAGTGACGCCGTAGAAAGACAACGTGCCCTTGGGGTAGTCCAGATAGACCCCGACCCTGCGGAAGGCGTCTGTTTTGAGGGGTGTCTCCACCTCACTGTGCCACGCAGAGAAGCCCTTGCCGTTCCACTGGATGCTCCAGGAGAAGTTATTCCCCGAAATGCAGCCGTTGCTCTCTGCCCCCTTCCGGTCAATGCTTTTGTACGTCATCCCGACGTAAACGCCGGCTCCGCTTATTTCAGCCTCAAAGTAGTAGCGGCCCATGTACAAGCTCGTGTCTGACAGCACCTGGCGCCAGTGCTCGAATCTTTCGGGGTGGTCTGGGTAGCCGTGTTCCCAGGGGGTGGTGTTGGTCACTTTGCGGTTGTCCTCGAGGAGCCTGAGATATCTGTGGGCTGTGACTGGGTCAAACGTCAGCGGGCATGTGTCTAAATAGAAAAAACCTGTTACTGAAATGGTGAAAGAGGCCTCCCCAGTGGACAGTCTCCATGTTGGTTATCCCAAGGTATAAGCTATGGCTCCTGCTCCACTACTCTTCACACTCCATCACTAGGCATCTGAATTCCTTTGCATAGCCCAGGAAATTTCCCCGGGGATTGAAAGAAGCTGTGGTCATGCTGGTGTTTCAGCAGATAACAATTAAAATAACTAAGATACAGATAATCAAAGATAATCTACATAAACCAGGTCACTTTGGAAAGACCTCAGCGGCCAAAGCCCCGGTTCCCCAGCACCTGTCCGCTTTAGAGGCATTAATTCCCGTACTTACACTTGAGAAAGTCGCTCCTCGTCTCGGGGTCTGGAGCTGATACGCGGTGCCTGGATGGTACAATTGCAGACACCATCGTTTTGATCCCACAGTCGTCTTCACCAAGAAAGACAATGAGTGTGCGGTTAGTACTCCCAGAATTATCCTGCGAGTGTGTTTGAGGTGGGCAACCTATAAGTCCTGAACCCATAAAATCACAACTGCGGTGGCGAAAGTGAATAAAAAAAAGTTATTTGCTCCTTCCCATAACACAAGAACTAGGGTTCCCCAAATGAAATGAATAGGTAGCAGGTTTAAAACAAGCAAAAGGAAGTACCTTTTTACACAACACATAGTCAACCTGTGGAACTCATTGCCAGAGGATGTCGCAAAGGCCAAGATTACAACAGAGGGGTTCAAAAAAGAGCTAGATAAATTCATGCAGGCCAAATCTACCAATGGCTATTAGCCAAGAAGGCCAGGAATGGCATCTTTAGCCTGTGTTTGTCAGAGGCTGGAAATGGATGACAGGGGATGGATCACTTGATGATTATTCTATTCATTCCCTCTGGGACACCTGGCATTGGCCATTGTCAGAGGACAGGACACTGGGCTACATGGACCTTTGGTCCCACCCAATCTGGCTGTTGTTATATTTGTGCGCTGTGTAAAGAGTGAGGTTTTTTGATGTTGTTAATAGGGTAAAGAACCAGCCATTTTGGGCACACACATTGGGCAACGCCATCCTTCAGTTCTCTGCATGTTGAGCATCTGAACAGCCCCTACCAGAACAGGATCTGGAATGGAGCCTCTGGCCTCTGCTGCAGTCATTTTCAATCTTTTTTCATGTGCAGAGCTCCCCAAAAACTGAATGGAGGGGCAGGCCCCTGTGGAAATCACGGAGCATCTGTGGTCCCCAGGGCTCCATGGCCCACAGGTTCCACTTCACTACACCACTGTAATACACATGACAATGTCAGTGTGATGCTGGCGTGGCTGAGATCAGGGTGAGGCCGATTGAAGGTGAGGGAAGTACAGTGCAGCAGAGTCACGTGCAAACAGTCCTCTGTGGAGCCCTTGCAGGTGGCTACTCCTGTCTCCCCTATGGCAAGGGGACACCCCTGGCAAGTTACTCCTGCCTAAAAGCAGCAGAAGGGCTGAAGAGGGGACGGGGTAGCTTCGTGCCTCAAATGCACAATAGGGCTGCACTTGGCCTGACTGCTCCTCATTCATGCCTGGCCTTGGTGCCTCCCTGGCCACTTGCACTGAAGCGTCAGAGAATAGGTGTGAGGTGCATTTGAGGCCTAGCGCTGGACCACATTTATGCAGGTGCATGCACGGCCGAGGGCAGCAGCCTCCCAGTTCCTGCTACACACTAGGAAGGGCACTTCTGGCTGGCGTGGGATAGGCTAGGACATTTTCAGGACTTTGTGACGGCACTTTGCCCAGCTAAACTCAGCACACACGCCCCTCTCTGCACCTACGCGCTGTTCCATGCCCTTCCTTGCCAGGGGTGTCTCTGGTGTAAATACAATGGTATAAATACTCAAGCATGCCGAAATGGGAGGACGAGCAAACCCAGAGGAGAACAGACTCAAACTGCAAAGCCACCTGTGGAAACCCAAGCAGCGAGGCCGGCTGCAGGTCAGTCCCAATGCAAGTAAAGCCCTTCATTTGGGGCGGGGGGAGACAAGAAACAGCCAGGCAGAAAGTCGAAGAGAGGTGAGAAATCAGCAGCAACTACCACGCTGTAGCCACTAACCGGCAGGACTAAAATCACAGGGGAATGGGAGAAGCAATAGTTTGAGATGGCAGAGACAAATTTCTATCCATTTGGGATGGGTGTGGCATCAACTCTACCAGTGCTGTGAAGGGACTCCCATTCTGACTGGGTAAGCGGGTTTTCCGGCTGATTTGCACTGCCGGGGTGTCACCGAGCAGCCAGATCCGACATGGAGGATAACTGTGGGCCATGTCTATAGAGCATTTGGAGATCCCTGGATAGATGGCAGTCGATTTGATGAAATTGCAGAACTCGTTTATTCCAGCAAAAAAATCCATTTGCTGTAAATGCTACAACTCAGCTTGAGTTACAGCCACTAACCCAGCATTGACTCCACCTATGCTTCCCAAGGAAATAACTGCAGTCCCTGGAGCTTCAGAGGGTAGCCGAATTAGTCTGTGAGGGTATGTCTACACTTGCACCCTAGTTTGGACTAGGGATGCAAATGCAGGCATTCGGAATTGCTAATGAAGCACGGATTTAAATATCCCGCGCTTCATTAGCAAGATCTTGCAAATGTATTCAGGGCTTAATACATTTTTTGAGGAGTAACGTTCGGACTAAGGGCTTTAGTCCAAACTAACGCGTCCCGGCACACACTTCCTGGTTCAACATCACTGTGATTCGAACTAGTGCGCCGGCAGACTAATGAATTTATTGGGATATAAGAGCATAAACTTTTGTGAGTTACAACTCACTTCCTTAGGTGCTCAAAGAACACACAATCATACCATAGAAGGCTAAGCAGATATCTGACTATAGAAACCCCACGCACAGCCAGAACAAAATGTATCAATTTTCAGAATATAGATGTATAAAAACTTTCACTCAAAGGAGTAGAATTTCTCTCTCAATTCAATACTCGAGGATATTTACACAAAAACTCATAACTGGGTGACTGAATTGATTCGCATGGGGGAAAAAGCCTGTTTCCTTGCTGGCACCATCAGCTCAGCCCTGATGACGTCCAGCCATGCAGCAAATAAGGCGGGATTGACCTTTGGTGCCCAACAGCTGGCAAGAGGGAACGCCATCACCCAGCAGCACATGAGCTTTGCTCTACTGGGGACAACAGGCCGGAGTTCGTATAAACAAGGAGGATTGACTAGAGCCAGCTGATCATGCTAATGCATGGGAGGGTGAGGAATTCAGCTGGACTGTGTCAGACTCATACTGATCAGATTTCTATTGTGCACTTAAAAGGCGTTAGGATGGCAGGCGAGATACTCTCCAGGCCTCTCCAAATAGTAAACCATTAACTGCTGGTTGTTTGCCTTGATCCTTTGAAAGAAAGACTGGGACAAAGTTAAACGGAAGGGAGAGGGGGAAATAGCCGGAAAGTTTATTCATTCGCTTGTTCTCTTTTCTAAACACAGTATTGTGCTTAAATAGAAACATCGCCCCCCACACACATCCTGGCACCAGCCCACTTTTCTCTCAGGCTTGGGCAGCCAGTAACATCGCAATCTCCACACCACAAACTGATACCAGAGGCCTCAGTGTGCACTCTTGCAAGCCCAGCCCAATGATCTCATTGCAGAGAGGAAGCGTTAGCTGCTGGGTTCTATTCCCTGGGGCATTCATTCCATCGGGGCCTCCCCTTTGCCTTCTGGGGACAGCGCGAAAGGGTTCATGCACACCCAGAGCTCATGCATTGAAGCAGCCATGAGACTCACCTTCCTTTGCAAAGTCCTGGAGCTTTTCCTTGTAGGAGGTTTGTACAAGCGCTAGCAAGTGATCTGTTGACTCCAAGATGACCTTTCTGATCGCTGACAGTTTATCTTTCAGGCCAATGTAAACACTGGGAAGCGCATCATCCCCTGTGCTCTTCTTGAACTCACTGTACTCCTGCCAAAAAAAAAATTCTATATGTGTTCATTTTCCTCTCATATTTGGCTGACTTTGTACGAGATCCATCTCACCGCGAAGTTCCTAGCAAACTCCCAATTGACATTAGTGAGAGTAGACACTGACCTTTTCCATTCCATTGCAGCCTTGAAGTATTTAAATTCAGCTGATGCAGAAACCTTTATTATGGAAGATCTTGAAGATCAGGCAAAATATAAGGTTCATCACACAAACTTTATGACTATAAAAGCTGAAGCGGAGGAGGAGGAGAAATCGCCTGACCTCACTCTAAGCTCCCCTGTACTGCGGGCATTAGAAAAATAAGAGCATGAGCCATAAAATAATGAGGGAAACAACACAGCCAGCATTCGTAATGAAATGACAAGGCTGGCTGTATGCTAATAATGCATCTCAGCCACTTTCAGGGGGAATGAAGCTAAAGGTGCAAGTTCTATCATCTTCACCCAGGAGTTTTACACACTTCGGGCTCAAACCATGCGGCCTTAGAGAGCCACGGAAACATTATCCTTGTTTAAAAACAAAGGTGAAAAAAATCTCCTTCTCTGTCTCCTCTTAGACGATTTCAGGGCACTTTAGGCCTGGAAGACACTTTCGACAATCCCAGTCTTACATTCCACAACCCAGGGAAGTCCAATCAGTTCGGAATGTAAATCTCCAATTCAGGGTACGGAAGACGAGGGCCAGTTCTAATGTTCTTAGAAGGCAGGACACCATTTTACAGTGCTACAATGGCATAAGAGTGTCCGATCATACTTCACACTTGCCCTAAGCTCCTCAAAGCAGAAACCAGTCTCCAGGCACACTCACCCACCCCTGCCTTTATAATGGAAAGGCCTTGCCCCTCATGGTACCTTAAGGAACAGGATGTCGCTGGTGTGGATGACCATCTTCTCCAGCCTGAGTTTATTCTCTTCCATGGCAGCACGTTTGTGTTCCAGATGAATCTTTATCCCGTTGGCTTGATTCACCGCCACACGCTCCTTCTCCTCTAAAAATCCCATGACGTCCGACTGGGCCATCCTGATAGCGTCCAACAGCTCCCCAAACTGCCCAGTCACCAGGCTCTTCACTTCGGAGATAGAACTCTACAGGGACAAAAGCCACCGCAATTGCCTTTTCCAGCTTCCCCTCCTGCCGTCCGCCCTGCTGGGTCCCCACTGCACCCTCCTGGCCAATGCATCGCGATGTGCAAACCACATGTGCTCGTCACTGTGGTGATTCCTCCAGAGCACAGAGGCAATAGCAGCCACCGCTAATCAGTGAATCCAGTCTCAGGGACTGGAACCCACAGCAGATTACTGCATGATCAGACGTTCCGAATTCTGAAAGCCCCCACTGCCCAAAGAGATGCCCCACATATATTTGCAATGGGCTCCCCAACCCTTTTCCAGCATTTTCTGGTCTCTCCCCCCGGCTCCACTCATACGCGCTCACACCCCCCGACAGTAGTTTAGTGCTGACTGATTGAGGGTCACAGCCAGGGAAATACAGAGAAGTGAAGTCAGCCTGTGGAACTGCTGGATACTGTTAAAAGGGCAACGTGCAAACCCAGTCAAAGCTGCAGCTGTTGGCAAGTTGACCTGAGGAGGGGAGGGCAGAGAAGTGGAAGGGCAAAAGAAGCCTGCACATGAAACCCAGTGTCTTCCCTTTCATTTTATTATAGGGGTTAGCTCACAGTAGACCGTACTCCTTCCCTAGTTATGCACTGTCCACACACAGGAAAGCCAGCCCAAACTGCTCCTTGATCGGTGAATCCCCCTCGTTTATTTGTCAGTAGGCGTGGAAGGGTTCGATTTGTATTGGTAGAGGAAAGGTCTACCAATGTCAGGAAAGGTCCCTACACAGCACACACACAAACCACAAAAAGATATTTCCACCAGCACATCCCAAAGTTCACAGAGGGGCATGCCGCATGAGCACTTCTTGGTAGCATGTGATTTACAGATGCTGATCACTTGTGTCCTAACGGTTCTCAAGCTTTAATTTTTTGACTCAACATCTGCTGCTATGAAATAATTCTTGCCAGACCCTCCCCATTGGCTGACACTTCCTGTAATTTCCCACAAGGGTAAACTTTTAAATGGATAAAAATGCTTAAAATAAATAGGAAATTATAAAAATAAAATGTGGCCACGTATATCGATCAGGATGGTGGCCAAGTTGCAAAGTGCTGAGACTTGCTGTGGAGGAGTAAGATTAGACTTTATGTAACAGGGGGACTCTCGAATGCCAACAGAGGGGGGAAAGCCACAGGAGGAATAAACTCTGTCCTATAATGAGCGTCCCATGTGAATCACAAAACAGAGACAGAGGCACTTCCAATGGATAACTGAGAAGGTAACACAATAAGAAAACAAATTAGGGCCAATTAAGGTCTGGGGGTGGGGAAGTGTCCAAAGCCTCCTCCTGCCTTGCCAGGAACACGTGGTGATGTGAAGTGTCACGCGCTGCTCGCAGGCTGGGGGGGGGGAGGTAAAAGGAGGCTTTGCGTGCTCCCGCCACCCCCAGACCAATCAGGGCCTGGGGGCGGAGGAGGTGCATGAAGCTTTCTCCACCCTGCCCCCACCCTACAAGGAGCCTGCAGCACTTCAGAGTGCCACGTGCTCCTTGCAGGGCCGGGGGAGTTTTCCCGCACTTCCCCGTCCCCAGGCCCTGATTGGCCCGGGGGTGGGGGAGCGTGCCAAGTCTCTTCCAGGTCATGGGTGCCTAGTGGGAAGAGAGGGGCAAAGGGGCTCTCCCACCCCCAGACCAATTATGGTCTGGGGTGGGGTAGCCCTGCCCTGTCCTGTTTCGGCCCCACCCCTTCCTGTTTAGGCCCCGCCTCTTCCGGAGTGGCCCGGGGCTACTTCTAAAATTTTTGAAGTGGCCCCCGGGCAAAAGTTATTGCCCACCCCTGACATAGAGGATACAACCCCACCTGCTTTGGGACTGGAGCCCTGCTGCTGGAAATGGAAATAAGGCAGAAGTAAAATTCTGCCATGATTTCTACTCCACAGTCCCTAGGAGAAAAGTATCCTACAGCGCATGCAGAGCTTAGGATCTGTGCAGCAGGATGGCTACAGCCAGGCTGACTTAGGTCCATCCCACACTCCCTTGTCAATTAAACAAAAACCCCTCAGAGTTTCCAGATGATTAGAGTCCAAGGTATTTGAGCACCGAATCGCTATTTCTGCTCAGACTGCTTACACGAGGCAAGTTGCTGTGGAAGGTTGACCTGAGAACTCGTCCAGCAGTAGAAATTGGACCCATCCCACCCAATTATTTCACAGAAGCCATCGAGTGGCCACCAGGAGGCAATGGCTTTTCCCCTCGACTTGAAGCAGCCACCTAGGAATGAAGTGCTTCGTATCTCATTAGCCATGTCCTGGGGGGTTATTCTGGAACGACCAGGACTTGCCATGCAGAAAAATAACAACAGAACCGTGCAATCTAGGGAAGCAGCTGTCGAGGTTGGACCATGGAGTGAAATCTGTGGAAATACGTGAGTATTATGGCCCCAGTGCTGCACCATTTCGAAAGGGTAACGATTAGTCACCTTTCCTAGTTGTTTCAGCCTGATACTGCTCTTTGGAAGCCTGTTTCCCTGTGGAGATGTGACTCAAAGACACCTCACGGAGGCAGCTGCATGATATCCTCAGACAATGGTTCTGGGGGGACTCTCCACCACAGACGCCCACGCAAAGCTGATCCTGCCCTGGAATAGCGAAATCTTTTGGCATTAGCAAGCGTTCCCCCGCAAGATGAACAAATCCGTTTGGATCAGAGTCAAACCAGCCTAAAAATCTCCCCTGCAATTCAAAAAAGGCCTGAACTTCGGTGGAGTTTTCCAGCTTTTGATGTGGATGCATTTTCATGATGACGTGACCTCTGGGTGTTATGATTCTGTCCAGCCAGGACCCCACCCTGTCTTTTTACAGTCACTTTTCAGGGTAAAGCTGCACTCCAGGGCTGGGGAGGGAGTCTGAACTGTGAAGCTGAGGCTACGTCTACACTGCAGCCCTTAGAGACAATGCAAATGAAGCGCTCATTAGCATTTGTCGCACTTTCATTTGCATATCTCTGCTGGTGCTTTTTGCAGAAGAGGTTTTTGTGCAAAAACAAGCAGTGCAGACGGGGTTATTTTGCGCAAAAAAAAACCCTTTGCACATGATCCCTTATGCCTCAAAAAAGGAGGTATATAGGATCTTGCACAAAAAGAGGGGGTTGCATAAAACAGCCCCATCTACACTGCTTGTTTTTGCACAAAAACCTCTTCCACAAAAAGCATCGGCAGAGATATGCAAATGAAAGCGTGACGAATGCTAATGAGCGCTTCATTTGCATTGTCTTTGCCGACAAAAGGCTGCAGTGTAGACGTAGCCTGAGATGTGATCTGAGCTTGTCCAAAGAATTTGGGCTTCAGTATCCCCGTGTAGCCCACAGGTGAATGTTTATTACTGGCTCTGTGCTCAGTCCCCAGAGGAAATGAGTTAGTTACAGCCCATGTAGGGAGCTTGAGCTCTGCAGTCATGGCACAAGCTTTTAGCTCTCAGAATCCGCAGTCCAGTCTTTAGCGTGAGCCAAAATGGCCGCTGTCGCAGCCGCTTAGCCCCCACGCTCGTCCACACTAAACTCATATTCAGCTTTGCCTGTGCTGAGCTGCTGAGGTGGACTTGGAGGAATTCACGGGGCTATTTCTCATGCACCAGTACGGATTGCTCCATGAATCAACATGGTTGACTTTATGACAGTGCAGTGTCCTGTGTAGGGGCTTCATGGTACGGATACAAAAGACCTGGCATGAAATCCTGGCCCCCTGAGGTCAATAGGAGTTGTGCCATCCATTTCCCTCCTGATCCGTACCCAGAAGACCTTACAGTCTAATTTGCGGCATGAAGCAGTAAGTGCAGGATAACAATCAACGGGAGGAGATATTTGGGCAAGGAAGGTCACAGACTTTAATAATACAGTCCTGCCACTGTGCAGCAGGCAAGGGGGCATCTTAATGTTTCAGTTCAGCGGGGCTGTTTTATTTAGTCAGTGGCTCAGTACTCAGTGGTGTAAATCTCTCTATCTGAGGTATTTATCTGTCATATAGACTCATAGACTTTAAGGTCAGAAGGGACCATTATGATCATCTAGTCTGACCCCCTGCACAGTGCAGGCCACAGAATCTAACCCACCCCTCTTAGAATAATCCTCTCACCTATATCTCAGATATTGAAGCCTTCAAATACTTTGAAGGCCCCAACATGCAGAGAGTCCTTCAGCTGTGACCTGTGCCCCATGCTACAGAGGAAAGCGAAAAACCTCCAGGGTCTCTGCCAATCTACCCTGGAGGAAAATTCCTTCCCGACCCCAAATATGGCGATCAGCTAAACCCTGAGCGTGTGGGCAAGACTCACCAGCCAGACACCCAGAAAGTTCCCTATAGCAACTCCTATCATCCCTCCATTGACCTATTTCCAACTGATAATGAATGGTCAATTAGTTACCAAGATCATGTTATTTCATCCAACCATCCCCTTATCATAGAATCATAGAACTGGAAGAGACCCCAGAAGGTCGTCAAGTCCAGCCCCCCACTCTAGGCAGGACCAATCCCATCTAAATCAACCCGGCCAGGGCTTTGTCAAGCCGAGACTTAAACACCTCTAGGGATAGAGACTCATATCTAAGCTCCTCACCATTTTCAATACATTGGTCCTCACAACACTTCTCAGAGGTAAAGCAATGTTATTCTCCCTGGTGTACAGTTTGGAAACAGAGCTAGAGGGAGACTGGGTGTGTCTACACTGCACCGTTATTTCGAAATCACTAGCATTATTTCAAAATAACAATGTGAGCAGCTACACAGCCATTCCGTTATTTCGAAATAATGGACGGCTTATTCCGAAATCTGTAAACCTCATTCTACGAGGAATACACCTATTCCAAAACAGCTATTTCAAAATAAGGCGTGTGTAGACGCTCCACTGCTGCTATTTTGAAATAGCCCTTCACCAGGGCCATTCTAAGTTATTCCTCCCCAGTGCCTCCTGGGGCTCTAAATCGAGATAGCACATCGACGTTAGGGAAGCCAGCCTCGGACTCATTTTGAGGCTTCCCTGCAGCGTAGACGTGCTATTTCGAAATAAGATATTTCGGAATACCTGTTCCTGAATAGCTTATTTCAAAATAAGCATGCAGTGTAGACGTACCCTAAGTGCCTTCCTGGGGTCACACAGGAAGTCTGTGGCAGAGCAGGCCGAGTCTCGCATTAGTTTCCTACACAACCCTTCTTTGCTAAATCAGCACAGGTCCATCCAGCTTGACCCGTTGTGATTACCTTGCTTCCTGTTGGCCTCACAGAAGAGGGTTTTAAAGGAGCGTCAGTAGCAGCTTGGGGACAGAGAGGAGAGGACCAGCCATGCCTCAGAGGCAGCATGGAACAGGCATGGAGACATCCGTGCATGACAGGGGCATGGAGGCTACATACATTTCACACATACAGGAGCGTAAGACTGTTATCCAGGCTCCTGTTAAATGTCATATGGATGACAATTTGCATGCCACTATTATGGGTGAAGTTTAGTCTGAGAAGGAAAAATAACCCAAGTTCTGTCCTTACCACTATAGACTGCGTGTTAGTCTTCAGCTTGACAATTGCATTTTCAGCAGACTTCAGTTTCCAATCATACTCCGCTTGGGTCTGCAGAAGTTCGCTCTGAGAATGGATGAAGCAAGTGTTAACAATACGTTCTCTCCATGATCAGCCAGGATAGTGGGGGAGGGGTTGTGAACCTCTACAACTGGTTTTGGGGCACCCAAAAGCAGCTGAAGCCCATGCATTTTCCCATGGACAAGAGCAATACACAGGCTCACAGCCCTCTGGGCATTCTTATTAGCCTTTGTTTGATATAGGGAGTGCGTCATCTTTTTTCTGCATCTGAAGAAATTAGATCTTGGGACTTAATCAGAAATCCTGGAACATTTCTAGAACCAAATTTGAAGCAAAACTTTACAAAGTTCTGAAAGACATTTCCCTCTTCACTTCTGGGGTCTAATTCTGCTCTCGTTTTTCACGCTTGTTTAACTTCACCGACTTCTGTGGAGTTACTCCTGATTTAAAACCATGTAAATAAGTGGCGAATCAAGACCTTTAGCTTCACACGTGGGATCGAGCCAGAATGTTAAAAATCTTACAGAAAAGGCTGTTTTCGTGACTTTTCTTATCTAATTTTGAAAACCCCATCGATTCAGAGAAGGAGCCAAACTTTGGGTTTATCCAGGGCAATTCTAAACTTCTGAGGGCCAGCCAGGACTAACCAAAACAAGAGAGTCTGATTTTTTTATTGGAATGTTTAATTGCCTGTGGAACTCTCTGCCACATGATAATGAAGACTAACAGTTAGTTAAATTGAAAAGAGACTTAGACATCTACAAATAAGACCATATGTAGTTATGTGAGATTACTCAGCACCCAGTGGTTCCTACCGCTCAAAGTGTGAGGTGCTGGACACTTTGGAAAATCTAATCTCTTCACTTAGATGCCTAGTTGGAACTTGAGCTGACCCTATATGCCTGCAACAGAGTTGACCATTCATCAAAGCCTCCCATGGATGTCTCAGAATTTGGGTCCCCGATAATGTAAGCCATAGGGATTATTCACCAAAGCCTCCTGTGCTTTGGTCCTTTGGGTGTCTGCCATGCCCTGTGCATCAAAGGAGAAAGATATTCCACAGCCCATTCCAGGCCACATACTTTATCTCTGTTGCAATCAGCCCACACACACCCAGGAGAGTTGGTGTCTTAGGTGTGAATGGTACTGAGATTTGAGAGGTTTTAAATGGAGGAAGAGCAGGGAAAGAACCTGCTGAATGCAAGATAATCAGAAAAGGGGTTAAATTCAGACGGGCTCTGAGCCCTTTGAAATCAGCAGTGGAACCATGGAGTTAGCTAGTCGACTAACCAACAAACCTAGGCATATTGGTTAATCTAGTCGATTACTCTCATTTCCCACCCCCTTTGCTGTCTCTGCATCAGAAGCAACAGGGGGGAGCAAGACCCGGTGCTGGGGGAAGCCGGCTTAGAAGCTGGTTCCCCTCAGCACCACCTCTGTGATGCTGCCTGGTGTACCCCTCCACCCCATTTTGCTGCCTCTATCAGAGGCGCAGTGCGAGGGACAGGAGAACAGGGGAGGCTGCCATAAAGCAGCCTCTGCGGGTGATGGGCCCAGACTCGCTGCAGGCAGCAGCAGCCCCATTACATGGAGGGTCCAGCAGCAGCCCCAGTCCGTGGAGGGTCCCAGCAAAGAGGGCACTGGTGCTGGAGCAGCCTGTCTGCAGCCAGCCCGGGCTGCTGCTGACAGAGGCTGCTTCATGGCAACCTCCCCCACCCTCTTCCAAGACCCCCGCAAACAGGGGCTGCTGTCACCCTGCGCTGTTGGCCTGTATCAGAGGCAGCAGCGTGGGGCAGCCGGTCCATGAGGGGAGCTGTTTTTTAGACTGGCTCCCTTCTCGGACCCTTGCGGGGTGGCAGGGGGCCTCCCAGGAGTGGGGTTGGAGCGCATTGGCTGTTCCCCTCCGGAGACAATAGAATAGTTGAGTAACCGCTAAGAATTCATGTGGTTATTCAACTATTCACTTTGGGGATGCTAATCTAAAGCCTCTGACTTCCAGAATAGTCCCTGGCTGTCAGATCCCATGGTGGCATGTCGGAACAAGAGGAACGGTTACTTCACCGATGCGGTGAGGACGACCGGGGAACGCTAAGCTGTGATTCACTGCAGCTGCCAGGACATGGACTTTACTCACAGCAACAGCCAGTCACCTGGGACTGGAAAGGGTGAGTGCAAAGTGGGAGAGGAGGGAGGCACCCCAGGGGGAGAAGCAAACTGGAAAGGGAGTTCCCTTACTCACCAGTGCAAGCTTCCCCATGCAAGCAGTCCTGCTGGTTTTGTATTCGCGAGGATACCACCTACAATTAGGCACCTCTACCCACCCCACCCCACCCCACCCCC